ACAGGGATCACATTTCAGTTAATTTTTAACACTTAAGAATAACTGTGTATTAATTACAGAATTAAACCAGTCATATTAAGTAGAACAGACAAATAAAAACTACTAAGAGGGATAATGTATTAAGTTGTTCATTAACAGTCAGGGCTATGCTGATCAAGGATTTCTTTATCCAGTCATCAGTTTGATGAATATCTGGGTTGATTCCATATCTTAGCTATTTTGAATTGAGCTGCAATGAACTTGGGGGTGCAGATGACCCCTTTTCATGCTGATTTCATTTAGTTTGGGTAACTTTCTAGGAGTCAGTTGGCTTGGTTTCATGGCAGATCTATTTTCTTTCTCAGAAATTTCCATACTGTATTCCACAATGACTGCATCAGTTTACATTTTCACCAAATGTGGATTATCCTACCTTTTTTCCTGAGTCCTCTACAGAATAGGTTGTTAGTTGATTTCTGTATGAGAGCCATTCTGATGGCTAAGGTGAAACTTGATGGTGGTTTTGATTTCATTTCCCTAATGGCTAGTAGTCCTGAGAATTTTTAAGTGACTTTGGCCTTTTCAATTTCTTCTTTTTGAAAAATGCATGATGAATGTGTTTCCCATTACTTAACTGGATGTTTAGTTTTTTTTTTTGTTGTTGAGTTTTTGTTGTGTTCCTTTCGCCCTTACAGGGTTCTTGGTGTAGAACAGGTGGGACTTGAGCCTACTAAATGTGGGATGCCAGCACTCAAGGTGGGAACTTAACATACTATACCACAGCCCAGCGCCAGTTTCCATTATTCTTAAAGATAAGTGGAGAAGCACCAGATCACGTCGATTCTAATCATCTTCTGATAGCCTTTACCCCAATAGAGGTTTCTTAAATTAAATGTCCCCATCCTCTCCAGTACAGTTATCAGTTTTTCTTAGAATTACTTCTTTCTCCCCAAAACCTCCATCAGTGTCTTCAGCAGTTATAGTCTGAGAAGCACTTTAGTGGGAGTTATCATAACTTTATGTGGCTGTCTCAGAACATAGCAACACTTCCTGAGTCATACTCAATTGTGTATGAATAGCCATTAGCATGTGTGTTTTCTAATATCCAAGTCAATTGGTATCTGAGTCCTTGCATTTTACAATTGTGTGTGTATGTGTGTGTGTGTAAAGGCAAGGTCACTGGAATTGAAATTCTATATTTTTGCATGTAAAAACTAATTCCCGAGTTAATGTGCCAATGATATCTCATTATAATTCTATCATCCATAGCTAGATCATATGTTTATGTATTTTCTGAGTAGCATATTCCATGCTGACTTACCTTTCATGAGTTGTCTGTTGTATGATAGGCTTGTTTATTTCATTAAAATGAAACACGTTGGCATTCAGTTTTAAATTCAATGTGAAATTGGCCTGTTTTCAGTTACTGTTCCATAGTGTCCTTAAGGCAAATAAATCTAAGCACTTGTAAAGGAGAAAGGAAAACCAACTGCAATCCCATTGCTCAGAGGCCGCTCCTATCTAAATAGTCTTTCAGACTTCCTGTACACACATGTTTATTTCTGCAGGGCCATCTGGTGTTCCCATGGAGATCGCTTCCATTACATGGATGTTTCAGTTCACCCAGTCTTGACTTGGAGCTGTCTACTTGCTATTATGCCCAGGTCTCCTTTCCTTTCAGTCAGGTCAATACCGACCACAACACTAGAGGGAGCCTGAGGCCGAGGATGGATTTGAACATTCCTGCAAAAATTCAGTGATGCAACTGAGGTGATTTGTGGTGGGTATAGGGCTCTTTCTTGTAGAACCTCTCAAGTCAGCTCCTCCAGAGTAACACCTGAAATTCGCAGAGAGCCACACATCAGCCATAATGAATACCCCCACATTGATCTGCAGCCAAAGTCAGGAGGCTCAGCACTGTGAGCACAAGTTTCTCATGAGAGGACAGAGGCAAGAACCATGTCCTGTACAGGAATATGGGTCATGTGTCACGAGGAATGAGAAAAGGCCCCAACCCACCTTGCTCTTTTGGTGCAGAATATGAGGTTATGGGTCTTTATGTGTGCGACCCCCGAGGGCCAAGCTGCAGAGGAGCAAAGTGTGTTCCTGCCACTGCCCCCTGTTGGCTCCTCACTGCTCTGCAGCTCAACAGGCCTTTCCAGGCTCTGTGCCAGGTTGTGAGACCTGGAGAGGCACTGGGTTGGTGACTCTGAGGATTCTCCTGGGGAATTGTGAGGAGGGAGAGTCCTTCTGGTTTCTTCCCCACTGTTTTGGTGAAACCTAGTAATCCTGTAATGTAAAATAATTCTAATGCACCTTGTATCCCTTGGGCCAGGAATTTATATCTTACTTGAACAGTATATTATGGAAGTTTTAAATTCTGGAATAGGAAGTCTTACCTCACTGAGATGCCAACTTTTTAAGAGGAGGGTAGTTTTGTTTGTTTCCTTGTTTCTGCAACCCTCAGAATCACCTTGAACACTTACTGAAACAGGGAGACTGCTGGGATGCACTCTGTGATGCCTTATCTGGTAGACCTGGGGGTGGCTGTGGCATTCAGCTCCACATGTGGTAACTAGGAGCCTCTCCCAATTCTGCTTCCTTGTGTTTTGGATTTCCCTTATTCCTCATTAAATAAAAATGCAAGTTTATTGATCTGAAATTCCCTTCTCTTTCTTCTCAAATAAAGCATGAGAGTTTCTACAACAAAACATCAAGGTCTTTCAAATAGTATCATTCTGATTAGTTTGCTGAATTTGCTTGAGAAGAAAATCCCAGAAAGAAGGGAAGTGGATTGTTAACACTTGTCCATTTTTGCATGAACCAGCAACAGACAAACGCCAAGAGCCATCCAAATAGGAAAAGACTTGTGTGTAGGTCCCCATCAAGCTGGGGCAAATTAATGTGGAATCCCAGATAAACACTGAGTCTGAAGAAGAACATGAAATCATTCAACATGGGATCATCCCATGATCAGGAGAAACCAACATGGTTCTTAAGTGGAGGAAAAGACCGTGATAAGAACACAGGTACTTCACAGGTGAAAAATCATGCAATAAGGGCCTTATAAAGCAGCCTTATTAGACACATGGAAGAAAAATAGACCATTGTTGATGACAGCAGAATAAAACAACAGTGGATTTAAAATAACTGCTTTAGACTCTAAACTCCCAACTGTTAGATTTCCCAGCATCAGAATATCTCTTACTACTGATTACCTGTTCAAAGAGATAAAGGATGGAATTACATAATGTATCCACATGCAAACTGTCTGCAAAAGCCTGTTTGGCAGAGATCATATATAGCTTTATAAAGAAGAGGAGGTGGAGGATGAGGATGAGGAGATGAAGAGGGCAGAGGGATTAGAAAAACACTAGAAAATGACAAAGGAGAAGAGGAAGAATAGACACATGAGAAAATATTTTTTTCTTTTTTAAAATATTAATATATTAATTTATTTATTTATGAAAGAGTTTCACAGAGAGAGGAGAGACAGAGAGAGAGAGAGACAGAGAGAGAGAGTTCTTCCATCCAATGGTTCACTCCCCAGTTGGCTGTAATGGCCGGACCTGCACCATTCTGAAGCCAGGATCCAAGAGCTTCTTCCAGGTCTCCCATGCAGTTGCAGGGAACCAAGGACTTGGGCCATGTTCTGCTGCTTTCCCACGCCATAGCTGAGAGCTAGATCAGAAGTGGAGGAGCTGGATTTCAAACCACTGCCCTTATGGGATGCCAGCACTTCAGGCCAGGGTGTTAGCCCACTGCACCACAGCGCCAGCCCCAGAAAATATATTTTTCTTAGAAGGAGGATTTTCAACTTATCTCACCCAGAAAACAACATAGGTAATAAAAAGATGCTTGAAAAATCAAGTGCACAATTGGATTTGTTGGAAACACATAAAACCCTGTACCCAAAAGATGCCTCTTTCTGTCTGGCACACAGTGGGCATGAACAAGCCATCAACATGAAGTAGACAGTTCATCATGACTGAATACGCGGGACACTTGAAATACAAGGGGCATCTGCCTTCCCTCCTTGAGGAAGTTTTCTGTCAGTGCCTGTAGAAATGTGTGGTGTTTTTTCTTGGCCTGCAAGTCTATCTGCATGCAGGTCTTGAGGAAAGATTCAGAGAATAATACCTATTTGGTGTTAGAACTGCTACCAATAGTCATTATTTATATGAACATACTTTTCAGATTTCCATAGAAAAATAGATAGCAGCCACCTTGATGGGATTGAAAGGGAATCCCCTGGCACATTTCTAACTCTACTGTTTGGGACAAGTCCGTTTGAGCATGTGCAAAACTATACATTTCATCCCTCTCTTATTCCCACTCATATTTAACAGAGATCACTTTTCAGTTAAATTTAAACACCTAAGAATAATTTTGTGTTAATTAAATAGTTCAACCAATGGTATTAAGTAGAACAAAAATAATAATAGCAATAAAACGGTATGCTGTTCCTCGAAAGTTAGGACAAGGGCTGATCAAGCCACTGTTTCTCACAGTGTCCATTTCACTTCACCAGCTTTCCTTTTTGGTGCTAGGTTAGTTATCTCCCATCAGGGAGAACATATGATATGTGTCCCTTTGTGACTGGCTCATTTCACTCAGCATGATGTTTTCCAGATTCCTGCATTTTGTTGCAAATGACTGAATTTCCTTTTTTTTTACTGCTGTATAGTATTGTATAGAGTTCAAATCCCCTAATTTCTTTATCCAGTCTGCTGTTGATGGAAATGGAAAGCCAAGACACTCTGGCAAAACAAAAATACCTAAATGAAAGATCTCTGTGAGTGAGAACCCAGTGGAAAGAACAGGAGATCAAAGAAGGAGGTACCTTTTTCTGAAGGGAGGAGAGAACTTCCACTTTGACCATGGCCTTGTCTAAATAAGATTGGAGTTGGTGAACTCACAAGGCTTCCATAGCCTTGGCAACTCATGACAGGAGCCTAGGGTGATTACTGATGTCATAAATGAGAGTGTCAATTGTTAAGTCAAAAACAGGAATCAGCTTCCGGTGGCAAGCTAGGGTCGGGGCTATGGCCAAACATCATCCGGACTTGATCTTCTGCCGCAAGCAGGCCGGTGTAGCCATCGGAAGACTGTGTGAGAAATGTGACGGCAAGTGTGTGATCTGTGACTCCTACGTGCGTCCCTGCACCCTGGTGCGCATCTGTGACGAATGCAACTACGGCTCCTACCAGGGGCGCTGCGTGATCTGCGGCGGCCCCGGGGTCTCCGACGCCTACTACTGCAAGGAGTGCACCATCCAGGAGAAGGACAGAGACGGTTGCCCCAAGATTGTCAATTTGGGGAGCTCTAAGACAGATCTCTTCTATGAATGCAAAAAATACGGCTTTAAGAAGAGGTGATTGGTGGGTGTCTCCTTCCTTCCCCCACCAAGCTGCCGCGGCTGCCAGAAAAGACACCTACGACCCAGCAGAAGGGAGCCCAGCCCGGAGCACCCACCACCTTGCCGCTCTCCCTCTCCCCCCACCCGGGATGGGGTGGACGGAAAGGGTTCTTCACAGCCTCCTGGCTGGCTTAGGAGGGAAGAGGTGATCATGAATTCAAGAAGGGCCCTGTTCCCCACGCGGATGTGTTCTGTCTGCACCGAGAGCTACATGGGCCTGGACCATTTCAGCCTCCTGTCTGAGCGCTGACCACAAGCGCCCCATGGTGAAAAGCCTGGGCAGCAGCAGCTCTAAAGGCGGGTGTCCACGTGGCCCTTGGCAGGCGCGGTCCTCACGGCCGTGCTGGGTGCTGCATCTTGCAGTGCCTGCAGGTGGTGCGGGCTTCATGTTTTCTTAGAAGTTGGAAACCCTTCCTGTTGCTATTACATCAATAAAGTTGGTGTTCCTTTTCTGGTAAAAAAAAAAAAAAAAAAAAAAAAAAAAAAACAGGAATCACTGTGCACTTACTCCCCATGTAGGATCTCTGTCCTTAGTGTGTTTTACTATGTGAATTAATGGTATAACTAGTACTCAAACAGTACTTTAAACTTTGTGTTTCTGTGTTGGTGCAAACTGTTAAAAACTACTCAATATGTACTAAATTGATCTGTATATAAAGATAATTGATAATGAATCTTGATGTGAATGGGATGGGAGAGGGAGTGGGAGATGGGAGGGAAGTTGAAGGGGGGGGGCACTGTGATGCAAAAGTTGTACTTTGGAAATTTATATCTATTAAATAAAAGTTAAAAAAATAAAAATAGATAGCAGCCATTAAACTTCACTTGTGGCATGCTTTTGATCTATAGTACTTGACATCCTCCCAATAAATGATTCCAACATCTTCTATATGTTCTGAATTTTCATGATTCTCCTTCCTTTAGGCTTTGAACTTGAGTTAGTTTCCTGATTTAGGAGGGAAGCTGATGCTCAGTTTTGATAAGGAGGAAGCTTGAGTTATAAATGCCAAGTCTTGCACTCCACCAATCTCCACATTTAGATATCCTGCCTCTGCTGGCCCCTTAGCCTTCAGGTGAGTTCATCAATCCCATGACCTTGTCCTGAGTCATGCTCATGTGTATGCTGTTTGGGGAATCATTTGATGATGTGCCAATATAAATAACCATTTTTGGCCATGAGTAGAACATGTGCAAAAACAAGACTGATTTCTATTTAATTCATTTTTCTTTTCCCTTGAAAGTCAGTTTCTTCTCCTCATGGTTCATGGGATTTAGAAAAAGTATTCCAGAGCCTTTCTGCCATTTGCTACAGATACAAAATGCAAGGACTTGGGAGAGCCAGCTGTTGACACAAATGAAATTAACCTGCATTCTTCCCCATTTCATTGTTGTGTTAGTCACCTAGAGTTTCCATATAACAACATACCATGACTTTGTGACTTAACAACAGGAATTTATTTTTTAGAATTGCTGAGGCTGGGAAGTCCAGGATTAAGATACGCGAGGTTGGCATCTGTGAAAGACACATTTCCTGCCTCAAGGAGAGACATTTTTCCTTTCCTATTCTCACTATCTTCACCAGTTAGAGAGATGTAACAATCTCTCTGCACAATCTCATATTGAAACTTTCTAAGAAAGTAGTTAGGTAAGTCATAAAAAATTGTACTTACCTCCCAGAAACCACATCAAATATGATCATACTAAAGAGCAGCATTTCAGCCAATGCATATTTGCACAGAACATTCATTCTATAGTGGTTATCACATTGGAGTTGATAATAATCATGGTTGGAGACATTTCACTAAGGATCCCTATGCCCTTCTTGCATGTTTCAATCCTAGATAGAATAGTGCTCTTGGTGCCCTTCTCTTTAGCATCTGTCCATAATGTATTCTCTCTCTCCCTCGGCAGACTGTGTTTCCACCTTTAAAAGGAGGTGGCAGAATACTTTGTTTTTCCCCATTTGTAGGGCTTGGGTCTGAGTGAGCAATCACTCTACACCTTACCCTGTCATCTAGACCCTCCACCACTGCCAGAGGTCAAACCAATCCCCTTAGGATGACAATTTGCATGAGTTCATTTCTAAGAGGAACAGAGAAGTGTTCTTTCCACAGCATCTTGAGACTGATTCCATCAAGTGTACAATTCCTAATGTCCCTATAGAAACTGTTATGTACACCTCATGTACTGTACAATAAATTAAAATGTTATGACAAAAATTAAAAAGAAAAGCAACGGGGATGGCGAGGAAGGGAGGGAGGGAGGGAGGAAGTGAGAAGTATCATATTAGAATTTTATCTATAAACTATATTAAATCTGTACTCTTTATATTAATTAAAATAAATAGTAAAATGAAAACAATTCAGGGGAGGCTGAGTCAAATTTGATGAAATGAATCTTGGCCAGGGCAGAAGGCAGGGTTTCCTAGGGTGCTGGAGAGGGCAGTTGTCTCTCATCATAGCCACGGTGAACCTCCTGCTCTTCTTGTCCTGATTTTCTCTGTCCCCAGCTTAGGGGCCCGAGGTGCCTGGGCCAGCGTTTCTCTCCAGACCCATGTGCTGGATGCCCTATCCATGCCTGAAGTGCATAGATTTGAAGCTACACAAGGTCCTCCTGTTCACACCATGTTATCCAATAGCTAGAAGCCTTTATGGGCCCATGAGAATGCGTTACCTTATAATTCAGATAGGGAAACAGAAGGATTTTTTGACAGGGAGGATGTTTCCATGTGCAGAATTAATATATTTGTCTTTAGTTCAATACTTTTGTGAAATGAAATTTTCAATTTGTCTTTATTGGAGAAAGAGGCCTACCTAAGTGTAAATGCCTCAGTTCCATAAAATCATCACATCACCCTGATCTTATGCTTTCTATTTCTTCATGTAAATATGAAGACATGACAAGTGGGATCATTTGACCTTGACTCCTCCTAGCTCATTTTCCTTGTGTTACAAAATACCATAAATATTTTATATAAACATGTTCATATTTGAATATTATACCTATTATTATTTTACTTTGTAGAGTTAGCATAATTTTAGTTTCTTACCAATTTTGGGGTGTTTCTAAGTTTTCTAATTGGATTCCTAGTTTGTGGTACTACAATTAGGAGCACTGTAATTAGGTATTTTATATGAGAAGCAGAGAGACAAAGAAGAAGATCACCCATCTGCTGGTTCACTCCCCAAATTGCCAACACAGTGAGATCTGGGCCAGGCCAAATGAAGGAACCAGAAATTCCATCCAGGTCTCCCATGGGCATGGGTGGCAGGCAACCAAATGTTTGAGCCAACACCTACTGCCACCCAGCGTGTGCCTTAGAAGGAAACTAGATACTGAAGTAGATAGAGCAAGCTGAAACCGAGGCACTCCAATTTGGGATGAGGGTATCTCAATATTGTCCTAATTGCTTTGATAAACACCTGCTCCAGTAGAAAGATCTTTGATTGAAGATCGATTATAACAAAGAGATCTACAGTATATTTTGAAAACTAATGAATTGATGAGATGGAAACTAGCTGAGTACATTGCTATTTATATTCAGTTTTACTTTATTATACATGGATAAATTAGAATTTTATATTTTTAGAGAGTAAAATTTACACACACTGTGGAGAATAATTGAGTCAAGTTAATTAATCTGCAACAATTTTCACTGGTTGCAGTCAGAGTTATCTATATTGTAAAGCAGTTAGAGGAATATAGTCTAAGAACCCCCTAGCCCTGGCCCTGGCCCTGACCCAGGGAAATATCCTGTTTCAAAAATTATACAGAAGAGAATTACCATTTCATGTTTACTTTTTTAAAAGATTTATTTATCAGAAAGGCAGAGTTACAGAGAGGCAGAGGCAGAGAGAGAAAGAGATCTTCCATCTGCTGCCTCACTCCCGAAATGGCTGCAATGGTCAAAGCTGGTCTGATCTGAAGCCAGGAGCCTGGAGCTTCTGCCTGGTCTTCCACATGTGTGCAGGGGCCGAAGGACTTGGGCCATCTTCTGCTGTTATCCCACACCATAGCAGAAAGCCAGATCAGAAGTGGACCCGCCGGGACTTGAACCAGCACTGTATGTAACGCTGGCACTGCAGATGGCTGCTTTACCTGTTATGTCATAGTTTCAGCCCCTCATGTTTACTTTTTTTTTTTCTGACAAGCAGAGTGGACAATGAGAGAGGGAGACAGAGAGAAAGGTCTTCCTTTTCCATTGGTTCACCCCCCAGTGGCTGCTGCGGCTGGTGCACTGATCTGAAGCCAGGAGCCAGGTGCTTCTCTTGGTCTCACACATGGGTGCAGTGCTCAAGGACTTGGGCCATCCTCCAATGCACTCCCGGCCACAGCTGAGAAATGGACTGGAAGAGGAGCAACCGGGACAGAATCCAGCGCCCCAACCGGGACTAGAACCTAGTGTGCTAGCACCGCAGTTGGAGTATTAGCTTATTGAGCTGTGGCGCCAGCACTCATGTTTACTTTTAAAAGAGGGAATTATTCCTGGTTGTCCATGTACAAATGGTTTCTCATTGTTAATGTTAGTATTTTTATGGATAGATAGGTGTAGATAGGTTGATCATATGTATACCTCATGTCTTCATATATTATTTGATTTCTTGCTCTTTTTATCTTAATTTTAACGTGTTATTTCCCTTTTAAAGAACTTTGTGCAATGTTCTTATGAAGTTGCTGCTTATCTTAAATATTGTTGAGTGTGGGATCTTTACAGTAGAAACAAGCACGAACTTGAAAGAAGAGTAAAATGCAAAAATCTTGTGTCCTCTACTTTCTGCCTTTTTGCCAGTTTTTTTTTTTCCTGGACTTGCCTTTATTATAAACTGTTTGGAGCCTCTAGAATTTATTTTCTCATCAAATACAAGTTTATTCCTTCAGTTTTTCATTCCTGATAGTTTACTTTCACTATTATTAGAATAATTTCTTATTTTTCGTCTTATTTTTCAATTCTACCTTAATGATGTATGAAACTTTTGTATAAACACAGAGATCGAGCTCTATTTGCTGTTCTGTTCTGATTTGTCTGTGTTTTCTGGAACCATTGCCAATCTGTTTAAAATGTTGCACATAAGAAGTAGTTGCTGTTGTTTTCTTCCCCTTGGAAAGTTGTATTCTCCCCTTATGATTATTCTGAATAATAGTCACTAATTTTCTGAGCTCTTTAAAATTTGAGAGTCAGTAAAATAAATGGTATTAAAGTAAAAAGAAATGGAATTATACCCCTAAACCTGCAGGCATTTAATGTACTCACCTCA